CAAGCATTTGACAATCCCGCCTGCGCGGCGACGATTGTCAGTTTTTGCATGTGGTGTCATTCCTCTGGTTGTTTGATCATTACTGCACATGGTCACGAATGTTGTGGAGCGTACACCTTATTTCGTTTTTTCCGTACATTCATAGTGCTAGGCAGCCTTAATCACAGCATCACTCGTTAGTCTGCACTATCGTTTATTGTAATTCTGTGACCTATGGTACGCTTTTCTACATTGTGCATAGCCGCGACCACCACTGATACTTGATCTGTAAGTTAGATATTGCGACTGCTGTGGGGATTCAAATTCGTTTGTATCGCATGAGGGTCATTCGTGTTTTCGTGGGGGAGGCTCTGATATCTGTCTCCACATCCTTTAGCAGCCTTTACAGAGATAGAGGATTGATGGGTGTGTTGTATTGGTAAATGCAGATAAATGATTCTTGTGACTCTGGGTCAATATTCGCTCGCACTTTGGTAACTTGTATTTATCTGGTTTTTCAGTTGGAGATAACGGGAATAGAGTACAGGTTGATAATGCCTTCTGATTCAATGCGAATGAACCCCTTCTTAACCTGTCATATTTTTATTCTGTGCGGATAGACAGTTGGAGAAGGCACTTGGATTCAGATTGTCGGTGGCAATATCTCTTGTCAACTTGTAGTCCTATGCTGTGCTGAAAGATATACGTACAGTTGTTACCTTGTACGCTAGTAACATGGAATAGCTAGGCCGAGCATAGTTATTAAGAACGCATAACGTATACGGTCTATACTAACTATCAATCGTCAATAGCTAGCATGATTGCTCTAAAGGGCCATCTTGCGCCCATTTGACTTAGGTTGGTATGTATCCATTTTGTCAGGTCATTTTGGAGTATCAGAAAATGTCTGTGCATCATTCCCATCACTTCACGGCAGAGAGGGGAGATAACGGATTGCAGGTGATCAGTTCTCGGTCCAATGATGTAAAATCCTTTTGCGGTCATTTGATAAAGCAGGAAGTCTCAGGTTATCTCTGTGTAGAGGAGTAGAGATACTAACAATGTCAATTTCATATTTTCATATGTCTAGTTATACATTTCGTATGCGCGAATTGAAGACAGAAGTTATTTCAGGACACTTCTTCAAATAGAGCACTGCGGTCTAGAGACCGAACTCCTGTATAACTTTACAGCGAACCAACAGTACCACCATGAGAAGGGCACTTCGGCAACAAGGGCAAGGGAAAACTGCTTTTTTACAGGAAAAATCTAGGACAGGACCCTTCGGCTGCTAGGTGGAGTGGTCTCATCTGCTTGAGATAATAACGTGAGTTTGCATATGGGTTCATGGTGTTGTCTAGCAGGGCCGATGCAGGAGGCGAGTCGACAGGTTCCATGAGGCTTTATGTCGAGCGTTATGTTGCTTTTATCGTCTTGGTCAGGTTGCGGACGATAGAGAGACAAGCTTCGGGGAGAATTGAAAGTTAGGTATCATGATTACATGGGGCATCGAATGAGTGCAGAGATGGTCGCGAAGAATGACTCAGTGAGCTCGATCGGGGAGAGGGAAAAAGAAGGAGGCTAAGTGCACCCTAATGTGTCGATCCTCCTGATCAGTCTAGGCCTATGTGAAGCAATCTAACTAGAGTATGGTTCATGGACTCAGCCTACAGCCCTAGCGTATAAAGCTTTATCAAAGTGTTAATTAAGCTACTACTCTAAATGTGGTAGGGGTGTCTGCCTCGCTTGAACACAACGTGGGATAAGCTCGGCTTCCACAGGAGAGAGAGAATATGGTGTCTGAGGCTTGGCTCCATAGTATATTTTTAGAGGACTACGTAAGAGAACCACAAGGTTAGCCCGAGCATTTGAAGACGCGCGCAGTGTTGTAGGTGGTGAGATAGGGACTATGAGCTCTTCGATAGATAAGGATTGGATGGTCCTGACCATGAAGAGCGTGTTTTAGGTGGAGGAGGAGAATTTTAAATTCTATTTTCTATAAGCATTTTACAGGGAGGCTCAGCTGTAGAGAATGCTTAGAACAGGAGAGATGATGCTTTGTTTCTTTGTTTGTTCCATAGTCAGGTGCGTGTGCAGCGTTTTGAACTTTAATTGGTTCAATGCGGGCGATATTATGGCTTTTACATGGACCTTATTAGGGCAGACCTATGCATACAAAGGATGTTGCGGAAACTTCACGGAATCCAGGATTGAAGTACATAAGTGCCGCGGCGCTAGGTGTCTTTCTCTCGCGCTGGTGAGCCTCTACGGATTCGGTGTGCTAATTGTTTGCCTAATATATGACGTTAAATGAAGAAGAGGCTTCGTCCCGTAGCAGATCTGCTTGTTGCTCCCATATTGTAGGGAATTCACAATAGACAAATCCTGATCAAGATAACTCAAGAGATTCTCTGACAGGAGATGATGTAGAGGCCACGGTCATGTAGAGTAGCGTATATCGATTGTATTTTCTGTATTCAGATAAACTCGTTCCTGGATTCACCACTCTAGTCTGATAGTCCTTGACTACTGTTAGGTGGGAGGCTGTCGGGATGCTGCTGCAATTTGAGTCCGCGTACCGAGCGGCTTCCCGACTGGCATATGACCAAGGTGCTCTATGGTAGGGAGTTTGTGGCTCTTTAGGACAATTGTGTTTCCTATAAGTCCACTCTTCTGTCTTGTTTCTTTTTGGATCATAAGTAGGCACCAAATTGCAGGGAAGTTTTATGTTACATTAAATCGGGATCTATTTAGCCCTAGTAGTAACCCACTTTCAATAATATATTTTAATGTTTCCGCCGGGTGAAATGCTGTTGTAAAATTCTATAGCCTCAGGCTGTACTTGGCTAAGGTGGTCATATTGGCGGAACAACGTTAGCGATCAGATATTTCGCTTCGCATACGGAGGCATTACTCTTGGTAGATTTTTACCTGTACTATAAGTGTAGGTGTGTTGCAGCATATGATATATAGTTTGGAACTCTAAGCTGTGTAGCATATATGTCTCCGTTTTATCTTTTAAAAAACCATCTTCAATTTGAATGTGGTTTCTTTAGCGCTGTCCGATGGATATATATAACGAGAAGAGCTGAGTTTTCTAATTCTTTATAATGACCCGCCCTATTCTGCCTAGTTGATCTATGTGTACGGATCATGTCCATATAGCTGTCCGTGTGGTTGGGTTGGTTAGGTGTTTTAGGCGGAGAGTAAGGGTTTGGTGTGTAGTGGTTAGTGGTGGAGAAGCGGTTAAAGAGGATGGGCGACTGAAGCCCATAAGCACTGTCGAGTGTAGCGGTCATGCTCAGCATCATGGGGCTGTGTGGGCGCGTGGGAGGGGGGGTCCTAGTATTCGAGGCCGGTGTAGAGGAAGAGATAATATGTTCGTGAACGAGGGCTGGTCACTGTTATTGGAGGCATAGCAAAAGGGCGAAGTATGAAGGGAAAGATCAGCTAGTGTTAGAACTGATCTGTAGTTGGGTGCTCAGGAAGCATGGGTCTTACTTACTGTTTGAAACAAGAGCCGAATACGCCCTGTATGGTGTGTAATTGTCCTGCGCAGCTGGGGAGGATATTTTCCTGTAAGAAGGACAGTGAGATGCTCTGGTTGCGATGCTGGGAGCACAATAGTCACATAAATTCGAATACACCCTGTATTCAGTCAAGAGCAATCAATCATACCTTCTTTGAGTAGGACTTTGCACAAAGGCACTCAACTCGCACGAATTCAGTAGAACTTGTATATATTGAATTAAATAACTACGGTTTTATATTTGTCATTGTTGTTAGATGAGTAAATATGGTTATGAATATGCTAGTTTGCTATGTGACTATGATGATATTTATGTTGTGGTGTGTTGTGTTTCGGTTTTCTGTTTTGTTCCATCTATGTGTGTAATATAAATGAGGTTACTGGAACATGGATTGACCTTCTAGATGCATTATCAAGTTAATTCTAAGATATTTAGGATTTTGATTATACTTGGCGCAATGCATAAATCTGTTTTCTTAGAGACTTTGTTGACAATGTAGACGCATGCGACAAAGACGTATGGTTGTATCAAGAGAGTCTGACCTCGTCGTAGACCGAATATACCTTGTATAATAGACAATTCTGGACTGATTTGTCATGAGGACCAACATGTCCTCCATGAGTCAAGCATTTTGGACGGGTAGGGGCAAGGGAATAAAAATAGGTTCTGTCTATATACGAGCAGAATACTAGTGATAGACAGTTTTCTGACGCCTTTATTTGTGGTGGATGTGGTCGTCTGCCTCAAACCGTTGGGGTTACACAGAGAGATGTAATAAACAGTGCTGAGACGAAGGACCGAGGGTATAGACTGTAAGGCTTGAGACATAGCATGTTTTGAAGAAGCGCAGCATAACAGACGAAGCTAGGTACACAGCAACAACAGTAGCAACAACTACACTAATAGTAGTGACTGATGGTGATGATGATGATGAACATGAAGAAGATGATGATGACGACGACAACAGCCACATTGATGGGGGACAATGAGCAATAATAATAGTAATAATGGACCCGATATAAGGCTGTCTTTGTACAATGGGATCAATGGTAGTTAATATCTCATTAAGTAATGGTAACATTAAATTTGATACAAATCAGTGCTAGACAAACTTTAGGTCGTATGACAAAAACTGGAATTACCGCTCTCTGGTTGTATGCCTTCACCGACCAGTCAAGTTTCAGTTACCTGTCCAGACTCATATAATCTATGTGTTGAAGACCTAGAAGGAATTGTATAAAAGGTATTAAGAGTGATTTTTGGCTAAATATAAGATGTGACTATATTGATGATGCATACATTCATACATGCATTGTTTGCAGTCACGTGACTCAAATGACCAGGTTTTAAAATCCAACTGTCAACATGTATGTTACATTCTGACTATGTATACTATTATTTTGCCAGATAATTGCCAAAACATTGTAACTCGGTACTGTAGTTCATACAAATCAGCTTTTTTACCATTTGGAATCCTTAGCCAACCAAGCAGAAAACATAATTTATGCAGAAAGTTGGACGATAATCCACTGTCAAACTTCTCTGAGGAAGAGGAAGTAAACTAACAGGTGCTACCTACTTCTATTTTTTCCCATTAACATTCGGCTGTAGCTCAGGAGGTAGAGCAGGTCATCCACTACTCAGAAGGTTGGCGGTTTGATCCCCGGCTCCTCCCTCCTGCTGAAAGTGTCCTTGAGCAAAGTACTGAACCCCAAATTGCTGCATATGCTGTGTATCAGTGTATGAATGTGTGAGAATGGGTGAATGTGGTATGTAGTGTAAAAGCGCTTTGAGTGGTCGGAAGAAGAAAGAAAGGCGCTATACAAATACAGTCCATTTACCACTGTCTCTTTTATAACTGAAAACTGAAAATGAAAAAAAGTTATTCATTTTTATTGTGTCTGTGCAGCCTTGTTTATTCACTGTGTCCATAAAGGTGTCCTTATGCAGAAAAAGATTACGTTTACTTTTCTGATGACTACATCACTGTAGAACTAATGACGGTGTAGAGGCAGCTCTGCATAGTCGCACGCCAAACTCCTGGCCTTGCTTTCGATGACTTCAGGCTTGCACAGTGGTAAACATTTTAGCTGCCTGCTACCAACATCATGAAAAACAATCTACTTGTATGATAGAAATTTTGAAAGCTTGATATACTTGATTATTTTATTCGGGAAAACTAAGTGAGCTATTTTCAGACAAACATCTAACAGACTCAACTCCTTGCATCTATCGTATACTTTTATTCTTCTCAAGGTCAAAGGTCACATTGTCAATATAGCATTACCTGTGCTTGTTATATGCGCCATTCCTGACCTGTGATTGTCCCTCCCTGCAGCTGGAGTCTGAAGCAGGCAGTTCTGAAGCTCCGGGAAGGACAGACCATGGACCTACTGAACCCTCCTCCACCAGCTGCAGCACAAAGCCGGGCAACAGAGCACACATATGGGCTAGACACAGACCACTGGAACTGACCAACCCCATGTACCGATTAGAACAATGAAAGTGGAAGTTGTCGGGTGCCTAGGAGAGGTCTAATCAATCCAAATATTATGGATGTATATGTACCAAATGGCAAATACTGAACTCCAGGGTCATTTCGAAGAGACCGCAGGTACTGACGATGACGCACAGCTCTGTGAGTGTCACTGGGCTTCTACCAGACTGTTCTGGATTATTGTGTTGTGTCTCAGAGTTTCATTTTAATTAAATAATGTGTTGCTGGCATTGCACTGACAGTTGTGTTGCTCTGTTAAGTCACTGCTAGACTTAATTTCCTTTTAAAGTATGATGTGCACAGGTCCAGCCATGCAAGAGCAAGTCAGTATGTAATCCCCCACTAGGGGTTGCCAAAGTTGATTTCTGTGAAGAAAACTAAATTAAATTAAAACTGAAAGCAGTGATGAACAGGCACTCGGCACGTATCGGGGTGTGCTGCGGCCGCGTCACGTGCCGGCGTAACACGTGCAGACTACAACATGAAAATTTTACGTAAATCAGATCAAAATCGCTACGCAGCATTTACCAGTTGCCAGTAGGGGGCGCTATCACTATAACTGAATTTTGGCATGTAGACGTGTTTGGAGTGGGACTCTTATCAGACAAGTGAAGTTTGGAGCCGAATGGACAATGTACACTCAAGTTATAAATGGTAAAAGGTACATGGACCTGTACTTGTATAGCGCCTTTCTAGTCTTCCGACCACTCAAAGCGCTTTTACACTACAGACACATTCACCCTTTCACACACATTCAACTCAGTGATGGCAAAGTCCATCAAACAGAAAGCCAAGCTCATTCATACACATTCACACACTGAGTCCAGAGCATCCGGGAGGCCCATATGGGGGTTCGAGTATCTTTGGCGCTCCAATGGACCCATTGTGGCGGAGGAGCCCGGGGATCAACACCAACAACCTTCTGATTAACGCGCGCACGCGCGCTCTCGCTCTCGCCTCTCCCGCCGCCCATTTCCAGTAAACCACCAGGTGGCACATCCTATTACTGATCTCCCTCTCGCACCATATGTGTGTTCCAGGTGGGGAAGTGAAGTTGGGGCCGATCCCCTCCCTCGTTGGACGATGCTTCCCCCAAGTTATAGAATTCATGCGGTTCTGGCGGTTACATCAAAATTTGACCGCTCCATGGACACGCCCTTTTTAAACCGAGAAAAACTCCACCCGACTCCCCTCTCTCTCCCTATCAGCAATACGTTTTTGTGTCTTCTGACCAAATTTCAGGCTTCGAAATGGATCTCTCGGTGGAGTTAGAATTTGAATTTAAAAAAATGCATTTCTGTTGCCAGTAGGGTGCGTTCATGAGTATGACTGAATATGTGTTGCATCTGGATGTGTTCACGGGTGGGCCCTCCGTTCATCGAGACAAAGCTGCCATTATGGTGGCACGATTGGAGAAGTACACTAAAGTTGTGACAACTTTCCTGTTCACTGGCGACAACGTCAAATCTTGGCGCCACGCCAGAGAACTGTTAGGTTCTCGCTCACCGGCTCCCCAGGATTTTTGTACACTCCAGGATCATGATCTACATGTGTACCACTTGTTCACACTCATAGGTGAAACCGTGCCATTTGGGCTGCTCAAATACGGGGCCACCTGTCGAGCCATTTTCGCCGCTTCATATGTCAGGGAGAACCCCCACTCCTCTCCTCACCAAAAACACGTAATTGTCACCCAATGCATGGATATGGTGCCACAGAGTTTCTTGAAGTTTTGGGATATGATGAGGCCTCCAAAAACAGGCCATTAATTGCCGGAGAAAAATACTCCACCACTCCTCTCCCTCTCCTCCTCAAATTGGCCCTTCACACTGTTTTTCGGTGCTCGGGCCCCATATTATTATTTTTATTTTTACAGTTTCAGAATGAATTATGTTAAGATATAACAGTAAATCTACACAACTGCAGTTATTGTTCACTATTTGGGTTAAAATACAGCATATCTACTGTTATTTACTTGATAATATGTCAGTTATCACATGATTAGAAAAGGGCTCGTTTGATAAAAAGGTTCTAGCCATCGTCGCGGTGTGTGTGTGGTTGTTGGTCCGTGTGGTGTGTGTGTGTGTGTGTCAAGCAGTAGGATGAATCATAAAGCAGAATACTGACTGAATGCACTGCAATTTCCTACTTCCTGTGCAGATGATCACCACAGTCACATACAAAGCATGTTTGTCACTCTTTTTAGTAGATGGAAATACACAGATAATCATGTTCGTTGAGCTTCTTTTTCTAAAAAGGCAGGTTCATCCTGATGATGGAAGGCTCCAACACTTTCTGTGTCAGACCTAATTCACAGTTTTTATGGTATCACTTTTTTAAAACTGTTCTCTAAAATATGTACAAAACAGCAAAGGTATGCTCAGTAAGTTGTGTTCTTTAAGCTCTTTATACAGTCAGCAAGATCTCATAAAGAAAATATGTTATCAAGAAACAAGACAGCAAAAACAGCCTTGTTTTTCAACACATGGAACCAAGTTCACACCTTCCCTTAAATATAGTAAATATAGTAAAAATAGTGAACATCATTTTCATGGCTTAAAATCATGTCCAATTATTAGCCGAGTGTAACTTCATCTTCTTTCTGACAAAATCTAATTTATGACATTAAAACTAATTTATTACATTAAATCTGTATTTCTTTATTACTACTTTATTATTTTTGTTTCATGTGTAAATGGGTAAATAGATGAGTAATTGAGAATTTAAGTATTATATTGTCAGGTTTAATTAGCACTGTACACTGTCCTGTGAAGCGAGCTAGCACTAGCAAATTGGGCTCAAAGGTAGAGCGTCGTCCACTAATCGGAAGGTTGTTGGTTTGATCCCGGCTCCTCCCTGCCGCTTGTCTAAGTATCCTTGAGCAAGATTGCTCCAGAGGCTGTGCATCGGTGTATGAATGACTCAGTTTCTCTTCGATGGGCTTTGCCGTCCCTGTGTGAATGTGTGTGAAAGGGCGAATGTGGCACATAAAAAGTGCTTTGAGTGGTCGGAAGAACATTTCCCATTTACATTAACTGCTCGTCCTGTCTATCTAGCGCTAGCTACCATAGTGATTTAAACTATCAATACTATCTGCTACAATGGGCTCAGCGAATAATACAAAGATGAAGTCAATAACAGTGGAGAACATGAAGATTCCCTTTGTTTTAATTCCTACGTTGTCCTGAAATTGTCTAGAATACATAATACACTACAAGTAAACCTCTGTGTTTCTAGGAAGAAAGTATGACACCTGAACAGCTGAAACCATTTTATAGATTTTCTCATCTGATCACACACACCACCTGTGTTCCAGGGAAATGACATACATGACGTGGTCCACTGAGTTTATTTGTAAACCGCCTTTTCTAGAGCAGCATCAAACATAATGTTATTCCAATGGTGTGAATTAAAATGTACATACATTGCAAGTGCTGCACTTCTAGTCCACTACACTGCAGGAAATATTGCACTTCACTTACATTTACTTACAGTTGTAATAACTAGTGAAATTATGGATTAGGATTTAGTCTCAGACCGAGAATACAGAGCTGGGAATGAGCAGAATAGGTAAACTTTAACTGCCACACTACTTGTAATAGGTGAGGTTTATCCCTTTAAATGTGACTTCATACTTGTTACTGTGTCAAAAGTTTGCTTCTGCATATTGCAACACAGTGGATGAGCTGTCAGAAACACATTTCTCGTCAATTAGACTATTCTGGTAGAGACTGTCTGCTGGAATTTGCAGTTGTTTTTTTGTTCCTCGAACTGTGTTTTCTGTGCAAAGAGCTCCTGAAACTGGAAATAAAGTTTTATTAATGCATTTTACATTTTGATCACTGTACTGTCATCAATCTAGCAGTAAATCTGAACAACCTGCAGCAGGACCTGATAAGGTGCTTAGATGTTAGATGTTTCTTTCTTATGTGAATATTGTGCCTGTGTGGGTAGATGTATTTAATTTAGAATGCTAGAGAACTTTCAAAGGAAATGGGCTGTTTAACACCTTTTTTTTACATCTGCAAGTTCCAGGAAAGACTCTAATAATAAGAAACTCTATATGTAAATATTTTTGTCTTGATTTGATTTTTCAGGAGGAGCTTTCAGTCTTTTCAGTTTTGTTAGTTTTGTTCATTTTAGTCAAGTAAAAATAAACCTTAAGTCTCGTTTTCACCAGTGACATTTTTTAATTTTTATCTCAGCTGTGACCGTCTTTGTTGTGTATAGCTACCATGGTTACAGGTCTCCTCTATTGTGAGGTTAGTGGAAAAGACACAGTTTACTGTAATGCAACAGACTGACTCATGCTCAGTGAAACCAGCTGTCTCTCTGTTCCTGCTTACCTAGCATTACCACAGCTAGCTGAGCTCCCCACTGCAGAGCCATTCAGCAGATGGATTTACTAAGTCAGTAGTTACTGTGTCTGTGAAGGGGCAAAAACATCAGATAAATTAGTGATATTTCTTTTTTTATTGCCTTTTTATTTGCCTCTGTGATATTTCTTTAGCATACATGTGAAGCAGGGATTGGCAACCTTTTGTAAATTATGTGCCATTTTTAAATGTTCTTTTAATCAGTGTTACAAATAGTCTGCTTGGAACAAAATACGTCTGATCATTTCCAACAGATCTGTGATTTTTTTCCAACTGTAGGCAATGTGCATAGCACATTTTTTTTTAAATCATTCTTCTCCCATAATGACATTGTATTTGTATACAAGAGCTCTATATAAGTACACTATACAAGCTATAGGGTGCTTTAATAAGATAGGGAGTGCAACTGGCAGTGGCTGCCAAAGAGGTCATTTGGCATGCGGATGACCCCCACTACCGGTCGCCAAAGTTTCATGGGTGGTCACAACAGGCATTCTTAATTTTAAGGGGTGTAAGAAAACTTTAAATATATAGACAGTAGGCCTTTGTCTTAGCATTTTACTGCTTCTGTGAAGAAAACCAAATTCTAATTTATTTTTAAAGTTTGGATTATTATATAAAATAAGTTTTGTTGTTATCTTGTTTTTGTTGTGAAAAAATTTTGACAAATATTTTTCATCATAGCTTTCGTTTTAACATTGCAATACCTCTTTATAGGCTCCTTCGTACTGTCTTGCATAACACACAGATCAAGAGAACAATCCACAGGAAAAAAGATATTTCCTGTGTCAGTTTCCTGTGTGTGAGTCCCCTGACTGGTTCCTCTACTGCTAAACAAAAGGGCACCATTTTGACATCAGAGTCATTTAATTTTTTTTTGCCACCATCAGCTTTACATTTTGCACACTGGAAGCCTGGTGTGCTTCTTTAATTGGCTTCAGAATCAGGTGTGTTGCCCATTAGGTTTTTAAATACAGGAATTTGCCATATTGATATATTACAATAAACATGCAGAACAATAAACATAGTATGAGAAAATATAAATGAAAGCATGTATTGCAAGTTGAGAAACAGAAAAATTGAAAATTGACAATAACATGAAAAATACTATAAAGACAATAAGAGACTGTAATTGACTGACAATATGACTTATTTTAAATGGAAGCTGTGCTGGAATGTACAAAAGATCACAGAATTAAGTAAAAAGGATATTTGTGCAAATATCCTTTTTACTTAATTCT